CACCTACATCGTCCACAAGGGACGACTCGGGAACTCAACTCCTACCTCGGGCAGCTCACCTATCCCCCTATGCCCAGGGGAAAGGTATCAAGCCGTTTGACAGCTGATGCAGGCTGTCAAAACGGCTTTTACGCAGAAACAGGCGGGAGCAGCAAACAGCTGCGTCCAGCGAAGTCGCCTGCCACCGGAAGTCCCCCGAGGACATCTTGATTGTGCTCCCAAGGAAGAAAAAAATGAAGTAATTTCCCAAGCAGTGAATTCACAGCTGAGTTGTTTTGCCAGTTATTCCTCTTAAATTTCAGATAAACTAGCTGCCAACATCAATAGCTTCTTCCAAAGGTTCTCACTTTAATACAGGGTTATCAAACTGCCGGTCCGTGGACTGGATGCGTCATGCCAAAACCACGCCCACCCCATTGCCGGCAATGGAAAAAAAGTCGTGATACTGCTCTAATAAAAGGGCTTGTTTATAACAGGTGAGGTAATATCTCCAATAGGCCTTAAACTATTAGATATTCAAAGGCTAACACAAACCTGCAGTGAAACTACTTCATCAGCATAGATTTGAACACTTTCCAAAACAAACTTAACCACATGGATAAATAAGTTGGGTAACCACAGCCAGCATGTATGCAAAGCATTGTTATTGCACTGACCTTGCCAGACTAATCTTCCTTGGAGGAGGACCAGGTTGAGGAATCTAGCATCTCTGATACTGTGGAGCCAAATACCAGCTCTGGAAATTTGGATATAGATTCCATTGCTCCTGACTTCAATACTGAAATTTTGGATCTAGAATGGAAGACAGAATTCTTCAGTTTTCTTTTGTTAGATGTACTGAGCAGAATCTCAGACAAACTTGTTTTGAGAAGCACTGGAAAATAGATAAAATATCAGATGATTGAAAGAGAGTCAGTATAGTCCTTATTTGAAGAAGAATTTGAATAATACAGATCAGTCAGCATAAATCAATCAATCATCTTGAAAACAATCCAGTGATTAGCTGACTTTAATGTGTGAATTCTTATCAGACTAATCTTATTTAATTTTTTGATTAGGTCTTTAGTAGGTTATGAAAACACTTTTCATAAGCAAAGAAATTGTCAAAATAATTTTTGATGGTGTGATGAAGCAGTGGATTACAACTGAATGAATACATACTGCCTCAAAAAAAATTCTGATCAGATTGCAGACTGATATTCTTACTTGTACTGTCTAACATTTTTGTTAATTGTTTGGTTGAGCAGGTATAAGAAATGCACATTTGCATATAGCACAACATTAAGTGGAGTAGCTAATGTTCTGACTAATGCTAATGCTCTGGTATGAGATTAACCTTAAAACAATCAACATGGAATTTCTTTGATTTGCCTAATGAATGCCGTTTACAAGTTATCAGATTTTGGGCTATCAATACAAAATTCTGATTTTCTCTCCCATTTCACCAAAATATAAAGAGTGATAAAGCAGAAAATAGCAATTCCTGTTTATTTTAAAGTTACATAACTGTAGTGTGTTTTCCAGGTTGTCTTGCGTAGCTCAACATTTATTGAGAAGTCCAACCTCTATCAATTTCTTCAACCTTGGCTAGGAACAGGACTTCTAACAAGGTGAGCAAAATGTAACTCAACTATTTTGCAGTTAATTAAAGCATGTGCTTGACCCATGTGGTGGACCACTGTCTTGTGGAAATCTTAAGACCTGACTGAGCTATTACTTCTGTTCTTTAAGTCTCCCTGAAGATGTAAACACAATAGCAAAAGGAGGAAAAGAGACTAGATCTGAGATTGCTATATCTGAAATTATACCTCAAGTCCCCATACAAATGTATCAAAATGCTTCCCCCCAACCATTTTTTGGGATGCGATGCTATATAGATGTGTGATCTTAATGTATAGGGCCAGTGGTTAGGTACCAAGTCCTTTTTACGTTTACTCAATATCTGGTGCAGTTGGATTTTATGAAGAAAAGCAATATTTTGATTTAGTTTGTTTATGGAAGTCCTGAGTTTTATGTGTCAATCCTAAATGAGATTATAATATACTGAATTTATGGTTTTAGTTCTGGTTCTTCTGAAAGAAAGACCGCAAATTGGTAATTTAGACTAAATAGAAAAGAAATAGTGGGACAAAGTGGCTGGGTTCATGTATTGCCCTAGACTGCGATTTGCTGCTGATATTATACATCACATTAAATCCTAAATCCTAAATGAGATTATAACATACTGAATTTATGGTTTTAATTCTGGTTCTTCTGAGAAAATGACCTCAAATTGGTAATTTAAACTAATTAGAAATAAAATAGAGGGACAAAGTGGCTAGGCCATGATTTGCTGCTGATGTTATACATCACATTAAATAATTGTTATCAGAATAGGATTAAAGATACTAAAGGTTGAGGGGAGATGAGAGCAGAATCAAGATTCACTGTATGGGTGGACTTTAACCAGAACCCAAATGGATTGCTTTTTTAGTTACTAATAATACCCACTTGTTGAGATTATATAGCACAGCACTGCAGTTAATCTACAATGGAAGTAAATCTTTTCTAAACTCCTTGTTGAAGCTTTAAGACTACAAGTATGAGTCCAGAGTTCTGAAAGTTGTTATATTGTAATGAAGACTCCTGAAACCAGCCTTCTCCAATCTGGAAACCGTCCAGATCTGTAGATTTCCTTAAAATTCCATAGGCTTCATGACTAGGACAATCGTAGTATTTTTAATTCTTTGTTTTACAGCACTGGGAAAAAATGGCACTCCAGAAGAAAAATGTTAACTCCAACTTTCCATTTCACAATCTTAGTAGATTTCTTTGAGGTGATGAAGGAACAAGCCAATATCCTTGTTCAAAACCTCGAACAACACCTGGACAAAGATCCATTCAACTGTGCTTTATACATTGCATTATGCACCCTGGATATAATCTGTGGTAAGCTTTGATTATTGTCTAGTAACACTATATAAAAAGCTAAAATAATTGAAGTCTAAAAATCCATCTACCGGTATTTATGTTACAGAAAGAAACTTATTATGATATATGACAACAAGATAGCAACTTTTTTCTGTTGACCCAAAGAGAAATACTTTCCAGTATTTCTTTTACAGGACCTTAATCTCAGAAACCAGGAGGAAGGCTGAGACAAGAATTCCTTCTGAATGGAGCTCTGCAGAATTCAAATACCTCAAAGAAACCAACAAAACAAACACAAATATTCTGTTTCACACTGCATTAAGTTAAATCTGGACAACTATTTGTTTGGAAACAAATTAACTCAGCCCTCTAAGCTTGTGAATGTCATGAATTTAATCAGCATCTGGATTCATACATTACTCCAAATTCAGGTTGCTTAACCATGGCTTACTGAATGAATCACAATTGCTTGAGTCCTTAAATATGCTAAATCAAAATTCTAAGGATTATGAACTCATTGCTTGAACTCACAAGAGATACCAAGTTAAAACTAGACAACCTGTATTATGGGTTTGTTTGCATGTGAACTAGGCCACAATCTGCCACATTTCTTTTTCTCTAGAAACAGCTATGGGCAAAAATATTGGTGCACAAAAGAACAAAAATTCAGATTATGTCAAAGCTGTCCAAAGGTAAGTATAAAGATGATGACATATTCCAATAGACAGTTATAAATTAATGAAGTCCAGTTAATGAGTCCCAGACTGACAAATTAGTTTACATATATAGATTGTACAACTCCTATTCCAACATTATGCAAAAATGAGTCAAAACTACTTGAGCATTTTATAACCTGTTGAACAAACTATAAGTCAAATGGGCTAATGCATAATTGGTGGCTACAAAATAAAGTTATGGCAGAAGACCAAGCCAGCTAAATGTCGGTCATAATTAGTCCATTATCTTCTAGTCTTTTAACATTTAACTAAAAGTACACTATGCAGTCACATAACAAACACTACATGCTAAGTTCTTAGTGTTCCCTGACTTTGTTTCTCTTCTGAAAATGTCTTATTACCAGACATAAGTAATATCATTAAAACATATAAATAGCCAGCAAACTCAATTTCTCCATGCACTGATGATGTTACCTAGTCTGCAAATAAAATATCTGGAGGAAGAGGAGAAACCTCAGAAGAAGAAAGAACCCAACAACTTAAACCTGAGGTGCATATATTCTCCATTGTGGCCTTAGAGTTTAAGCAGCACTTAAAACAATTGAGCAAGAGAGTGTGAAACATCCAAAGGTTTCAGGGTATCTTAGAAGGTCTTTTTAAAAGTGGGTTTTTAAAACACTGCAGTTGTTAAATTGATACAGTACTTGTAATTTGCCTCACATACAAGCTGCATCTTCATAACCATTCTGTCTTTCCCCACTTTCCTACCTATTCTAATTTCATCAGTTTATGATGTATCTGATGAAGTGACTGGAGTTCATGAAAGCTTGTGCTTTTTAATAAAACTTGTTATTTTGAAAAAGTGCAACCAACTCCTGATTTTTGATACTATACACTAACACATCTATAATGACTACTTTTGGTTTTATTATAGGTGGCTTAACAATTTTAGTAATTTGGTAATTTAGTACATGTGTGTGTTTCAGTAGATTTTATTTTGTTATAAAATTTAATTCAACTTTGGTCACTGACAATAAAGTATAATTAATATGCAGTTGATACAATTTTTTATAAAAGTATTATAACTTTGTTGTTTGTTACTCTAGTATGAGTGATCTAATTCATCATAGACAGAAGTCACCATGGCTTTGGCCCAACTTTTTGTACAATATGTCTGGAAAAGGAAAGCAACATTACATGAACCTGAAGATACTTCATAGCTTTACAGATAAAGTGAGTTCCAAAATGCCTCGTCATGTTACAGCTTGTGGAATTATTTCTATCCAGCTTTGCAGTCATGCTTCTTTTAGATTCATATTTGACATTCATCTGAGTATTAGGCCTGGGGGAGGTGGCCTCATTTCATCTTGATGAGAAGCTTTGCACCATGGAGACTATATGTTTCTTCTGCCTTAGAGAGGCAGCTATTTAGTTTGTGTCACTTCTGGGATTTCTCTCCCTGTTCCACCAATAGCAACTCCAATAGTTCTCTGAGGTAACTGAGAGACATCCCAAAAGCTGTGCAAAGCACAGCAATGCAGCACGTTTGCTTTTAGAAACCATGAACGAGGTGGGGAGGGTTGGTTTGAGGGAAAAGCTTTGAAGGAATGAACCTTTATCAGTGAAACACCATCAGTATTTGAAACATTTCATCTGATTCATTGTATTTTTTTCTGTTACTTCAGTAAAACAGCTTTTTAAAATGTATTTCCTATTTTAGCTTTATAGAAGCTGAAGGTTTAAGAAATAATGACCAAATCATCAAATGTCTATTGTTCTTTGTGGTTGTATCACAGTTTGAATCTAGAGCTTCTTGGGCCAGTAATTTAGCCTATCTAAAACTTACTATTACTGCTCTGTCACCACTAGAAAAGTCTCTATATGTGGGTATAAAGGGGATTTGGGGTATTTTCCTAGTACTCAGAAAAGCCCTTTGTCTACCCTTTCATTGATGACCAAGTATTTTAGGGTTGATTTTTGAGTTCAGCTTTTTGTCTGAATACTGAGCAGGTATAAGATTTTAGGGAATCTGAATTTCCATACAATGTTCAGAGATTTAGATATATCCCTAAATTTGGTAGATAAAGGTAGGTAGGTAGGTAGGTAGGTAGGTAGGTAGGTAGGTAGGTAGGTAGATAGATAGATAGATAGATAGATAGATAGATAGATAGATAGATAGATAGATAGATAGAATACAACCTTGAGGTTGGTGAGCATCTTAAAGGTCCTTCCCAATCCTTTAAAACTTTTTTAACTTTTAACTTACAGCACCAACTTCTATGAGTTTTTCAGTATACTGATGAATGGAACAAAGGGTCCTGTTCTTTGAGATCCAGTTGTTTTTCTATTCAGATTGATTTCACAGAACAATTGCTTGATTTGTAGCTTGATCCTGATCCTACATGTTAAGTAGGAAGGAAATGCCCATCTAGGTCTGCCTAAAGCTGGTGGTTGCATTTTCCCTTTATTTACCATCAGAATGCATAATTCTTCTCTTAAGGAATGGCAGATATTGCTCATTACAGGTAGTTCTCGACTTACAACAGTTCATTTAGTGACCGTTCAAAGTGACCATGGCACTGAGAAAAGTGACTTATGACCATTTTTATCTCCATTGTTATGTAATCAAAATTCAGATGCTTTGCAACTGACTCACATTTATGATGGTTGTAGTGCCTAAGGGTCAGGTGATCACCCTTTGTGACCTTTTGACAAGCAAAATCAATGGGGGAGTCAGATTCATTGCAGTTGTTAAGTTAGTGTTACTAACTTAACAGCTGCAGTGATTCATTTAACAACTGTGGTAAGAAAGATCATAAAATGGGCAAAGTTCACTTAACAATTGTCTCACTTAGTAAGAAAAATTGTAGGCTCAGTTGTGGTAAGTTGAGGACTACCTCAACTTTTGCATGGTGCTGCACATAGCATATCTTGAATTATATATAATAAATGGTATTTTCTCTCCACTATCTAAGATTATTGAAGAAAAAGTGTGCAAAATAAAGCAACAGGAGCAATATCAAAATGGTGCTGCCAGCAGCAATCACCTAAGAAAGAACAAAGAGAGGAAAGCTTTCCTTGATATGCTTCTGAATGCCAGAGATGAAGATGGGAATAAGTTAAGTGACATCGATATACGAGAGGAAGTGGATACATTTATGTTTGAGGTATAGAATGATCAGAACACAACTGCAAAGAGATCATTGGAAATCAGATCATTTCTCTTTTGAATGCCACTGCTTTCCTCTCTAAGACTATAAATCATAATAAATTATTTTCTCTTAGGCTACCAGTTGTAATATGCTAACACTTAATCAATCAGGATAGTGCTGGAAAGGACCTTGGAGGTCTTGTAATCCAGCCCCCTTCTCAAACAGGAGACCCTATACTAGTATATTTCAGACAAGTAGCTGTCCAGTCCCTTCTTAAAAACCTCTAGTGATGAAGCACCCACAATGTCTGAAGGCAAGCTGTTCCACTGTTTAATTGTTCTCACTGTTAGGAAGTATCTCCTTAATTCCAGGTTGCTTCTCTCCTTGGTTAGTTTCCATCCATTGTTTCTTGTCTTGCCTTCTGGTGCTTTATAAAATAAATTGACCCCCTCATCCTTGTGGCAGCCTCTCAAATACTGGAATACTGCTATCATGTCTCCTCTAGTCCTTCTTTTCTCTAGACCAGCCATACCCAAATCCTGTAGCTGTTCTTCATATGTTTTTGTCTCCAGGCCTTTAATCATCTTAGTTGCTCTTTGCACTTTTTTCCAAAGTCTCAACATTTTTTTTGTAATGTGGTGACCCAAACTGGATGTAGTATTCCAGGTATGCCCTTACTAAGGTTTTATAAAGCGGTACTAATACTTCATGTGATTTTGATTCTATGTCTCTGTTTATACAACCAAGGATTGTATTAGGTTTTTTGGCTGCGGCCACATACTGCTTGCTCATGTTTAAGTGATCCTCCACTAGGACGCCAAGGTCCCTCTCACAGTTACTGTTTTTGAGCCAGATTTCTGGGAGTTGAAGTCCACAAGTCATAAAAGGGCCAAGTTTGAAGACCCCTGGCCTAATCTGTACTTGTACATTTGTTTTTTTCCTGCCCAGATATAAAACCTTGCTTTTCACCACATTAAATATCATTTTGTTGATAGGGCCCATTGTCCAAGTCTGTCAAGATCATTTTGGATCCTTGTCCTCTAGGGTGTTGGCAGTTCCTGCCAGCTTAGCATCATCTGCAAATTTGATGAGTTCCCCTTCTATTTCCTCATCTAAGTCATTTACAAAGATATTGAAGTGTACTGGGCCTAGGACAGAACCTTGTGGTACCCCACTGCTTCCTTCCATGTAGATGTAGTATCATTAAGGATGACTCATTGAGTATGGTTTGTCAGCCAGTTACAAATCCATCTGATGTTGATGCTATCTATCCCACATTTTTCTAGCTTACCAAGCAGTAGGCTGTGGTCTACTTTGTCAAATGCCTTGCTTGATGTCTAAATATACTATGTCCACAGTTTTTTCACTGGTCTATAATTTGATCCCTTTGTCTAAGAATGAAATAAGATTGGTTTGCCAAGATCTGTTTTTAACAAACCCATGCTGCTACTAGTTATAACTTTATTTGTTTCTAGATTTTCACAGATCTGTTTTTTGATTATCTTTTCCAGTGTCTTCCCAGGTATTGATGTTAGGCTGATTGGACTGTAGTTTCCTGGGTCTGTTTCCCACCCCCCTTTTTTTTGGAAGATGTTTGACAGTTACATGCAAACACAGGAACTCCCACATGCTTCCTTCTTTCAGTAAAAATAAAATAAATTAAAATTAAATAAAAAAATAAAACAGTATCTTGTTCCATGCTGCCCCATACTAATAGGGCTGTATTCACATTATATTGTAGACGAATACTTTGAGCATTTTGGGAAGCAAATGTAACAGCTATCCGCAAGTCTTTCATGAGATCAGCCTTAATGTTCAGTTGTCTATTTGTGGACAAATATATATTAAATAGTTAAAACACATAGTTCCTTTTAATCAAGCTACCTGTCTTTTTCGCCCCCTTTAAATTTTGGCACTTGGCTGCTAAATAAAAGTTTCTGTCATAATTGCTTTTTGTATTGTAATTTTATGTCGTCCTTCCAACATTGCTATTTAAAAGTAAAAGTATTGCTGTGAACCTGCCAAAGATAAGTATTGTGATGCCCGTTGATTTCAGGGAGATAATTGTGTGCCTGATTTTGGCTGAACTACTTCAATTGGCATACAATTATGCAGACTTCCTTGGCCTAATGATATTGAGATGTATCAGAGTGACAACTTCCATAATTCCCAACCAGCTTGGCTATTAGTGTTTGCAGTTGGTAATTGTATTATAACTCATTGACAAAATGCCAAGTTAAGAAATATGTAATAAAGGTTTATAGTTTGAAATTTCTCCTCCTAGGGTCATGATACCACCGCTGCTGCCTTGAGCTGGGCTATTTACTTACTTGCAAGTCATTCAGAAATCCAAAGAAAAGTTCACAATGAACTGGATGAAGTTTTTGGTAAATGTTTATTTCTTCTAAGCATTTTAGTATAATTTTGGGGTAGAATAGAATTCACATAGATTTTGTGTAAGCAGTCAGAAATATTATATCCAGAGGAATAAGGAACTCTGATAGCTGACATTTGAAAATTAATCTTGATCATTCATAAATATTATGCCTTTTGCCCATTAAGGTGAGTTCCACTCTTTTTCTTTAAGAGGAGCATCTGTAAAAAAACTTAACCAGTTTCCTTATTAACAATAACCACCAAAAAAACCAAATATCAATTTACTAGCCCCTGAGGCCTTAGAAAATGCTAGAAGAATCATAGGATGTATTATAATTATGCTAGATTTTTATGCTGGTGGAAATCTGTTATTAAGAAGTTCATGTTCTGATCTTTGAAGCTACAGTTCAGTCAAAATTGGTTTGGAAAATATTTTGAGATATAAAATCAAAATTTCTATTCCTGGAAAGATCCAAAACACTGTACATACATGTGGCAATAAAAGTGTTCGTATTTTTTTCTTTAATTAATACAGTCAGTTTAGCTATCTCTGCTAGCTCCATCAGTTTTTGTAATCATTCCTCTGTGTAGGAATCAATGTAGACTTCCATTTTTGAGCGTAGAGTAATCTTGCTGCTGTCAACATATATAACATCAAAGTTCCATATTTTTTTCCAGGTCTTTATCCATTAGCCCCCAAGAAAAAGTCTCTGGTTTTCTTTCTATATTTAGTTTAAGAATTTTCTGTATTAACATATGAATCCTACTCTAACATTTCTTGCTTTATCACATGTCCATCATAATCCTTTAAACATTTTTAATAACTTGTCTGGTGTTAAGTACCAACAGTACATCATCTTATAAAAGTTTTCTTTAGGTTTATAATTTAATATAAATTTTAATCCTTTATTACACATATTTTCCCATTATTCAAGCATTATATTATACCCAAAATTCCTTGCCCACTGAATCATACAATATTTTACTTGTTCAATTTCCAGATTTAAATTCAATAACATTTTGTAAACTTTAGCAATAATATGTTCATCACTACCGCACAGTAGGCTTTCCAATTCATTTTTAACAGAATTAAACCCATGATTCTTTTTATCTAACTTGAATCTTTCTTTCAATTGCTTATTGAAAGGCAGACATGATCTTCTGATTCTAACTCCTCCTTGGATTTGAGGGTAGGCTCACCCAGGTTGAAAGATATTATTTTACCATAAGTCCACCAAATTGGTCTCATCACCATCTGTTTTCTAAAAAAGGTTTCTTGTGGGGAAACCCAAAGTGGCATCTTCACAGAGAACTTTGTTTTATATTTAATCCAACTCTTAAAATGGTATGCCTGGTAAAATGATTATTAAAATCAACATTAACTTTGTCATACCACAGACAGCCATGCCAACCAAACCTTACTTCATGGCCTTCTAGGTCCAGTAACCTCATATTCTGAAGGTTCACCCATTCTTTTAGCCAAACCAAACAACAAGTATCAAAATACAGTTTCAAATTGGGTAAACCCAAACCTTCTCTTTCCTTAGCATCTTGCAATAATTTATATCTAATTCTTGGGTTTTTTCCCCTGCCATATAAACTTAGAGATATCCCTCTGCCATTGTTTAAACGGAGTTTCAGTTGCAAGTATTGGTAATGTTTGAAACAGGAAGAGCATCTTTGGTAAAACATTCATCTTTAATCACAGAAATTCTACCCAATAATGATAAATGCAATTTGTCCCATCTTAATAAATCTTTTTTGATATCATTCCAGAGTGGCACATAGTTATTTTTAAATAAGTTTATATTTGAATTTGATAATGTAACCCCCAAATATTTCACCTTTTTCTCAACCCTAAAACCCGACTTTTTAGTCAATATATCACCATCCTGTGCAGTCATATTTTTAATCAACATTAATGTTTTCTGCTTATTAATTTTAAAACTGGCTAAGGACCCAAACTCATTTAGTTTCCTCATCAAGTATTGTATGTTATTTTTTGGGTCTTACATAAATATCAACAAATCATCAGTAAAGGCCCTCAATTTATAAACTTCCTTCTTAACATTTATACCTTTTATTTTTTTTGTCTTGCCTGATATCTCTATTCAGGACTTCCAGCACCAAGATAAACAATAGTGGAGACAGCGGACATCCTTGTCTTCTACCCTTTCAGATTTCACATGAGTTAGTTAGATTGCCATTAATAACAATTTTTGCTTGCTGTAATGTATAAATAGCTTTAACCCCTTGAATAAATTTTTCCCCAAAGTGCATTTCTTGTAGAACTTTAAACATAAAGACTCAATTTAAGGCCTTCTCAGTGTCTAGGGATATTAGAGCTGCCTGTTGTTCATTGTGGTATTGTAGATATTCAATAATATTCAAAACCATTCTCACATTATTCCTTAGCTGTCTTTTTGGCAGAAAGCCAGCTTGGTCATCGTGAATATATACCTGTAAAACGTTTTTTACTCTTTCTGCCAAAATTGCAGCAAATAGCTTATAATCCTTATTTAATAATTAGATTGGTCTGTAATTCTTTATCATTGTGGCATCCTGACCCTCCTTCGGAAGTAACACAATATTAGCTTCTGACCATGTTGGGGGTATTTCCCCCCCGTAATATAACATTCGTTACATCCTTTAATGGCTGAAGGCCAGGAGCTTTACCTAATTTCATTTTTCTTATAGCTTCTGATATTTCAAAGGTAGTTATTGGGTCATTCATAAATTGTCTCTGGGCCTGTGAAAGTTTTGGCAAGTTTTGTCTAAGTAAAAAATAATCTATTTTTGACCTATCAAACTCCTGCATCCTATACAGATTAGAATAAAAATTATGAAAGGATTTTTTAATCTGGTCGTTATCAGTTATTACTTTATTACCTTCACAATTTTTTTCAATCATTCTCTTTTTCCCTCTCCTTTCTTAGTCTATAAACCATCTCCCTGGTTTATTTGCAAACTCAAAATTTCTTTGTTTCACATAACAATTTTGTTTCTATTTCTTGGACTGTTAACATAGACAGTTGTTGGTGTAGCAAGTTAATTTGGTGCAGAATTTTAGGGTCCATAGGTGATTTTTGCAGTTCAATTTCTTTCTGTCTGATTGCATCGAATATCTTCTGGTCCTTTCCAAATATTTTTTTCTCTCTCTAACCGATTGTATTGTATAAAATAACCCCTCCTAACTGCCTTACTAGCCTCCCAAACCATTATTAGATCTGTCCCTTTACCTAAATTATTATCAAAATATTCATATCATTTCTTTTTACATTCTTTTACAGTTATCTCCTTTTGTAAAATAGATTCATTCAATCTTCATCTATAACTCAAACTCTTTTTTTCTGAGGACCAAAAACAACTGGCTTATGACCAGAAAAGGATTTAGGTAGAAGATCAACTTTCAAAATTCTATTTCCTCAGTTTTTAGAGGTTAATATCATATCAATCCCTAAGAAGGATTTGTGCCTTTCTGAAAAAAAAGTATATTCTCTTACGGAGCCATTTTTAATGCTTCCATGAGTCTATTGGTGTTAAATTGTCCATCATTTCAAAAACTGACTTTGGTGGTTTGCCCTGGGATGGTTTGATCCCTTTAGTAGATGTTCTATCCCAAAGTGGTGAAATCACTCCATTCCAATCCCCCAGCATAAACCAATTTTCATATGAACAAGGCAAAAGTTAGTCCATTAGATACTAAAAAAAAAATGTTTTCCCCCTCATTTGGCACATATAGTCTAATCACTGTTGATTTTATTCCATTTCATTCAATTTCCACAATTACAAATCTATCGTATTCATCTGATAAAAGTAACCTAGGTTTAAATTGGGGTTTTATATATAAACCCACTCCATTTATCTTTTTTCCCCCAGCAGATACAATATTCTCCTCTAGTCTTTTATTTATTAGGTATTTGTCATCTTTTTTAATATGTGTTTCTTGAAGACAGATTATATCAGCATTAAGTTTTCTCAAATAATGAAATACTTTTTTACGTTAAATGGGGCATTAGCCCCATTGATATTCCATGTAACAAGTTTACTTTCCATCTTTAAATGAAACATCAGATTCCTATATAGATATCTCAGTCATCTCTTCTTCAATGTCTGTTTTTCGAAGCTGGTCTGCTTCCAAATACTTATCCATCTCCATCTCATTACCTAATTCTGAAAATAATTTATGTCTGCTCAAAAACTCCTTAGCTTTATCTAAGGAGTTCAATCGAAATCTTTGTTCCCAGTATGTAAGTGTCACCCCCTCAAGCTTATCTCAACGAAAGGGAATTTTTCCTCATCTTCAGAATATCTGTAAAGAATGAATAGGCTTTCCTTTTTTTGCAAAATTCTTATGGGAATTTCCTTCAAAATAATTATGTCTACATTTTCCATTCGTAATTTCGCTTTAAAATGACAATTTAGAATGCAGTCTCTTGTTGTTTTTCTCCCAAAGTGCACCAAAACTTCCCTTGGCAATTTTCTCATAACAGCAAATCTCGAATTCAATCGATACACCTTGTCTATATCCAGATTGAGACTTTTTTCATCACAATCTATTAACGCAGCCAAAGCTTTAATCATGCTTGCTCTGATATCCTCTCCAGGTTGTTCAGGAATTGCTCCGAATCTTAATTGAAATTCCTTAGCATGAATTTCCAGAATTCTCTCATTTGCTCAGTTTCCAAAAAAATATCATGTTTACCAACTTTGTCTTCTAAATTTCAGACCTGGCCTTCACCTTGTATCTAATCACAAAATTCCTTTACCAATGTATCAATTTTTGATTCAAGCTTAGTTCCCATCACCTGTATAGCCCGTATAGCCTGTATAGCTTCATGTGTTTTGGCTGTATATCCATCCATAAAAGATCTAAAAAATTCCACATCTCTGTTCTTTTGCCGGTCGCCATCATTCTAGGGTCTTTGGCTCCTTCATGTGGTCAAACAGTACCACTACAATAAGAACAGTTTCTCTTTGTCTACTACTAGAGCAGTGGTTCTCAACCTTTTTAATGCCGCGACCCCAACTGGTCGTAAGTCAAGGACTAAACCGGTCATAAGTCGAGGACTAAACTGGTCGTAAGTCGAGGACTACCCAACTGGTCGTAAGTCAAGGACTTTCCCTGCCCGGGAGCGCCGCACATGCGTGGTTCCGCCCCCTGCACCGGCTGAGGCGTAGCTGGCAAGCGGCAGAGACAGAGCAGGCCGACCACCAGCTGGCCCAGCCCAAGGGAGGTAAGGCACCCGCCAGAAAAGGGGCAAAAAATGGCGGACAAAAAAAAATGGCGGACAGCCTTGCTTGGCGACCCCTGTGAAATGGTCGATCGACCCCAAATGGGGTCCCGACCCACAGGTTGAGAACCACTGTACTAGAGCAAACAGAGGTGAGAAGTGAAATCAAACCTATTTCTCCCCCTCCTTACAGCCAAACAAAACAGAGAAGGTTTAATTTAGAGATAAGAAAAAGTTCAGCAGAGTCTGTTAGATAAGTACTTCTCCAAGAGTTTTTTAAATCCAAAGTTTCAAAATAAAATCCACCATGTTCACAAGCTTCTTTAGTTTGGCTCGGATATTCAAACACCTCCCTCGCCCTATTGAAATCCCAAAGCCACAGAAAAGACAATGATTCCACAAAAAGGAAAAGGCAGGTTGCAACCAGAGGAAGCCTCTTTTAAACAGAAAAGGTAAATATACAGAAACTAGTGTCTAAGATGCGGAGACAGATTTTTATGTCCATATCAAAATGGCTGACTCCTCCACAGTGAACTTGTGTCTTGGTTGCCCAGCCCCCAGTTAGAGACTCACCAGATCACTTCTTCTTCCAGAAGCTTTCTGAGAGCACCCAACTGTCCAGGGGAGCAAAAGGGTTGATTTCCAGAACTTCCCTTTTCTCCAGAGAGGTTTCTTCTGCCTTAGAAAACTTTCTAAAGCATTTAATTATGGAGGAGTCTGTAGCAATCTAAAAGATTGTGACCTTCAAATCTGGTGAATTCTGCCTCTTCTAGATTTTGTACTTGAGGTGGAAAAAAAATAAAATTTTGATTGTGGGCTTTACCAGTTAGATAGATTTGATGTTATTGAAAAAGGCTAGTTTATATTATTTTGTAAAAGTAAAAAGTTGAGGTTTGAAGTTGATACTCTATTCCCCTTACCTCACTTCTCTACTCCCTTTTCCCTTCCTCATCTTTTCCACTATTTACTTTGTATTTCGATTGTATCGTATATTATGAACTAATAAAACTTTATAAACAAAACATTACATACATCATGTGTTTGTTTTGGGGATGAGCAGCATTATAAAGCACAGAAAAAGAGCAAGAAATAGAGTAGTAAGGCATTAAAAAAGATGAAAAAGAAATACAGCTCATTCCAGTTTACCTAACAACCATCCTTGTTTCAACCAGTTCTATGCCATTTCTATGTTGTCTTTTGTTCTTTAAGCAAAGGTTTAAATGAAGAGGCAGAAAGACACACTTGTATGAAGTCATTTAACTTCTTTTGACAAGCACCTATTCTTCAGACCACATTTCCCCATCTTTAGAAACAATTTCCTAAAGATTTTATCTAATCTTTAGTTAATGTTCTATCAAAGTACACAAATTCATCTATTTACTCTATTTTTTTTATTTTCTAGGTCTAAGTTTCAATCATCCATTTTCTCTGTCAAACACAACCAATTGGCTTTTGATACACTACTTTTCAGATACAAATTCCTTGTCAAAACATATAATCTATATAAAATTTGCTGCAAAACATTGGCCAGCGACACAGTATTATCTGCAACAAAAATGCACAAATATTCATGTCCCCAACTTCAAATATGTTTTCAATATCATCACATTCATTATTTGTCATAAATACACTGAACAGTCAGTGGAACATTACATATCCTTGAATTACTGTCTGCTTAATGCTGAATCATTCACTAAGCATTATATTGATTTCCACCCATGCTTTACCCTGATGATAGTCTTGTCATATTTAGCAATAAGTCTTTAACTCTACAATCTATATACTACTAAAACTCTTATTGTCATGACTTTTAACTGGATGAAATTGTGCATCATAGGGCAACAATTTTTGAACCAAGGTTCCTCAAGTAGGTTAACTTAAAGGATGTGTCCAAAATCTGAGATCCATGACTCCTGACGAAATGAAATCTGGAAATGTTGTGGCAGCTTTAGTGCTACTGGCCGCCATAGTCACATAACTTTATTTTAAATTTAGTGGCAGTTTCTCAGCCAGTCTTGCAATTCCTCATTCTCTTCCCCAATTAACTGCAACCACTTACCTGCCTGCTGGAAAGCGGGGAGGGGAGGGAAGGAAGGAAGGAAGGTAAAGACAGAAGGGAGGGAGGGAGAAATGAAGAAACGAAGAAAGAATGGAAGAATTCTGGTGCTCCCTGTCAGATTCCCACAAGGAAACTCAATGAATAAGCTGATGGGAAGTCGGAAGTTGCTTCTTCTTCCACTGCTCTTTTACTCGCCCTTGTTTCTCTGTTTAGGTAAGGAAATATCTCTGAAATGATGACTCAGCAGGGCATGAGTTGTCTACTATAAAAAGTATAAACTTCAATAGATTTGTGTTCCAGCTCTACAATCAAAGCAAAAGATCTTTTTCTAAGAAGATATTTACCAAACTATTCTCATTCATTCTAGGACTACTGGCCCCAAAATCTATCTAATGTCATAGAATCATAGAATTGGAAAGGACTATCCGATATATTACTACTTTATGAAGGAGAATATAGTGGGACATCCAGTCAAAATCTTTGTTGAGTTCTAGGTTTGTGACAGTTCCTAATCTATTAAGCTAGCAACTTTATCAAAAGAAGCAGATAATGTTAGCCTGGCATTATTTGTTTGTAACAAACCCATGCTGGTTCCTGTTAATTTTAGTTGCCTATATAAGGTCTCAGAAACATGATGTTGATAATCTCTTTGAGGACATTGCCCAATGTAGATGTCAAACTCTGTAATTTCCCAGTTCCTCTGTCTTCTCCTTTTTGAAGAAAGGGAATGGCATTTGTTCTCCTCTAGACTTTTGGGCCTTCACAGTCCTCCAGGTATTCTCAAAGATTATTAAGAGTGGCTTGAGAGATACTCCATCTTACTTTGGAAATGTGAATTTAATTAAATGAGCTAAGTTTATCCTGTAGTCTATCCTGAGTTGCCGTTCCTTGTTTCCCAGTGGCATAGCAATGACTAACCAGGGCTCCATTTCTCTTCTGAGAAAAGACAGTTGCAAACGAAGAGTCAAAAAGTTCTGTTTCTCACTTTCACCCATCGCTGCTTCAACACTTTCTCCTCTTAATGGACCTATAGTCTCTTTTCCTTTCCTTTTATTTCTAGCATATCAAAGAACCTTTTTTTTTTTTTGCTGTTTTGGGTATTTCACAAACATCAGCTTGTTTTGAACTTTAGCTTTTCTGACAGAGTTTTTATGATTTCTAGAGACTAACCTGTATTTTTTTTTTAGTTATGTTTCCTCTCATTTCCTCTTCAGTGTTTTATACAACTCCACATGCTGGTCTCTTTATATTCCTTGTGGGAATTGTTTGCAACTGTGCTCATTTAATAGAATTTCTCATCCTTCTTGGACACTTTTATCTTCTTTTATCTTAAGGTACTTTCCCTGAAATCTATTATTTCACTATCACCATTCCCTAGGTGAGACTGTCACCAGCCTCTTAATTCCTACTTTAATAGACATCCACAACACTCCAGATAACACCAATTTATACCCAAATCATAGATTTTTCCCTTTCATTCATAATTAAGGCCATATCTTTTCTTTTTGACATATATTCATCAATTCTATTCCACAAGACAGACTCCCTTTGATCAGAACTATCACATATTTCCCCTTCTTTTAATTTAACAAATACACATCTTTATTTTTCTTTCTTTCATTTCATCTATTTTATTTTTCTCACATTCCAAGCTCCCGTAGACTACGCTCTTCATTAGATGGATCCATAGACTTTGATACAGAATTACAGAATAACAGAGTTGGAAGGGACCTTGGAGGTCTTCTAGTCCAGCTCCCTGTACAATTCTGAAAATTCTTTGATGAGCTTCCATTCATTACTTCTTGTCATGTCCTCAGGTGCTTTGGGGAATAAGTTGACTCCTCTGTGGCAGCCCCTCAAATATTGCTAGCTTGACTTCTCTTCATTAGGTAGACATGCCCAGTTCCTAGTCTTTATTCTGGTTAAACAAGGCTTTCATTTATCACTTTTTAAATAGATAGTATCTAAACTGGATGACCAGTCTTATGCCACAGACAGTGTTCTCTGGTAAGGACATTACCAGTCAGTTCTAACACATTTTGGCAACTACAGCTGCTTTACCACAGGCATGCAAATGTTTTTCTATCTGAGTTAATAACTCTTCTGTTGTGATTATCTTATTGAGCTAACATGCTTTTGCTCTTTTATCAGGTGATTCTGACCATCACATTACAATGGAAGATCTGAAAAAACTGCGATATCTGGAATGTGTCATTAAAGAAGCGCTTCGTCTTTTCCCTTCTGTTCCATTTTTTGCCCGTATTCTGAATGAGGAATGCCATATCAGTAGGTAGTCTGAACAGGTTGTAAGGAGAAGTTTTATGCTACTGAACTTTATCGACGTTAAGAGCCGTAATGGCGTAGTGGTTAGAATGCAGTATTGTAGAGTAATTCTGCTGACTGCCGACTGCCAGCATTTTGGCAGTTCAATTCTCATCAGCTTAGAGAGGACTGTAAAGCACTGTGAAATGGTATATAAGTCTAAGTGCTATTGCTATTGCTATCTTGGGGTGACAAACATTTGTTCTTTGGCAGGAGGATATAAGATACCAAAAGGGACTGATGTCATAATTCTGCCATATGCATTGCATAGAGACCCTGACAATTTCCCAGATCCAGAGGAATTCAGACCAGAGCGTTTTTTTCCTGAGAACTCCACTGGACGACACCCATATTCTTATATCCCTTTTTCTGCTGGGCCCAGGAATTGCATTGGTATGTACACAGAACAAAGTTGTATATCCCCTGGTTCTCTGAAGAATGATATGTCTTGTAATGATGATTTTTTTTCCCAAAGAAGAGGTAATCCTTACAACATAGATTAGAAAGGGAGCTTGGCGGTCTTCTACTCCAACCCCCTACTCAACCAGGAGTCTAGATTAATTCTGGATTAATGTCTGTCCAGATTAATTCTAGACAGATTCTAGATTAATTCTAGCATCTAGATTAATTGTAGATTAATGCCTGTCCAGTCTCTTCTTGAAAACTTCCCACAATTTCAAAGGCAAGCCGGTCCACTGATTAATTGTTCTTACGGTCAAGAAATTTCTCCTTCTAGGTTAGATCTCTCCTTAATGATCTTCCATCAATGATTTGTCCTGCCCTTAGGTGTTTTGGAGAATGTACCCCACCCCCTCTTCTCTGTGACAGCCCCTCAAGTACTGGAAGACTGCTATCATATTACCACTAGTTTTTCTCTTTGTTAGACAAGACAAACCTAATTTGATCAATCATTCATGGTATCATTTAGCCTCCAGACCCCGTATCATCTTTGTTCCTCTTTTCTGCACTTTTTCTAGGGTCTCAACATCTTCTTTGTATCTTGGTGAATTGATGCAGTATTCCAAATGTGGTCTCATCAGTGCAGTATAAACATTTGGAGTAACTCCTAGAAGTGTCACAATTCATGCTCGGTTTCTTGGAAGAAAGTATCAAGAAGAATCTCTCAAGGCATCATGCTTTAAAAGAATTATGGAGAAGCTATAGTTCAGTGGTTCTCAACCTGTGGGTCGGGACCCCATTTGGGGTCGATCGACCATTTCACGGGGGTCACCAAGCAAGGCTGTCCACCATTTTTTTTGTCCGCCATTTTTTTTGCCCGCCATTTTTTCCCCTTTTCCGGCGGGTGCCTTACCTCCCTTGAGCTGGGCCAGCTGGTGATCGGCCTGCTCCGTCTCTGCCGCTTGCCAGCTACGCGTCGGCCGGCGCAGGGGGCAGAACCACGCATGTGCGGCGCTCCCGGGCAGGGAAAGTCCTCGACTTACGACCGGTTGGGTAGTCCTCGACTTACGACCGGTTTAGTCCTCGACTTACGACCGGTTTAGTCCTTGACTTACGACCGGTTGGGGTCACGGCATTAAAAAGGTTGAGAACCACTGCTATAGTTAGTTTAGCTCATAGCTTTTAGGATTATTACGGTTAAAGCATTAGGTTAGAAACTGAATTCTAGTCTTGCCAGTCACTCTCTCTTAGCTCAACCCACTTCCCAGGAGAAAATAGGGGAGGAAGGAGTATTAAATATGTTTGCTGCTTTATTTATTAAATTTATAAAAAAAACCAAAGCAAATAAATAATTACAAGGATCTGGAACTTAGTCATATGAGGAATAATTAAAAGAAAACTAATATTTAACTTCTAAAAGAGGAGTCTAAGTCCAGAAATGAAAATACTCTACAAATATCTAAAAGCTGATATGTTTGAGAATTGTTTTCTTTAGAAGTTGAAAGCAGGTCAAATGGCAATGGAAGTATGTCCACATGGTTGAAGTTGATAAATAGTGGAGCATTTGCTTAGAACAGTGTTGGACATTCCTGGACTGGAGGTTTTCAAATGAGTCTTGGGGATCATGACTAAGCCACTGTTTCATGGAATCCTGCACTGAACAGAGATAGAAGATAATTTATACATTTCTTCTAATTCCTACAATTATTATAATACTTTTCTCTGTTTGTGATAAGGATAAAAATGTCCACAAGATATAGATAAAAAAGACACTCGGTGTATTTACTTACTTACTTACTTACTTACTTACTTACTTACTTACTTATTTATTTAACTAGTAATTACAATCTAATTTTTGCATTTTGCACTAGAAAAAAAAATAGGTCTGAGTCATTATATTGCTGAGATAGAACCAGCATCCATAATTTCCTTCAAAATGAATAATTTCTTTATAAATTAAGATTCATGTACTCATTGCTCCTTTCTTCTCTTCTGTATCTTTAAATGGAGCAGAGGCCTTTATCATCAAACAAACTTCATTGCTCATGATGTTAACATAGGGGTAATCATTATAATTTAACCATAGTTAATGAGAACAACCAAGTGCATAGATTATTCTTATTAATAGTTTTACCCGTTTGGTGATTTCAAAAAATTGCAACGTGTTTGAAAGCAATCGGTAGTGTACCCCAAAGATTCACGGACTCAGTAATATGATGGAATATCAATCCTCTGAGAAGTCCCACAGTGAAGAAATTGGCAGCTGAAGGGAATGTTAAAAGGATATAAAATTTATTTTCAATGTGTTTACTATAGTACAATCTACTTTCTATTACGCTGTTTTACTCAATGTGATGGCTTTGATTTGACATCTGCTTAATGATGCTAGAATACATCTCCTAATATCACTCAATGATGTTTTGGCTGAGCCATTATTGGAGTTTCATGTATTGTTGCAGCCTTAGTCAATGAATCTGAGACCATGATTATTGTTGAGTTACATTGAATAATTATTATCACTAAAGAATAAATATTTAGTACCACAGGTTAATTAATGCCATTATTTTTGAAACTCCTATATAGGTCAACGCTTTGCCCTGCTAGAAGAAAAGACAATTCTAGCAACCATATTGCGACATTTTTGGATTGAAACTAAGCAGACATGTGACGAAGTTGGTATGGCTGCAAAACTGATTCTTCGTCCAAGCAAAGGCATCTGGATTCAGCTAAAAAAGAGACCAACTCCAAGCTCTTAATATAAGAAACTACAGGAGTAGTACATTGGATCATTTCATCAATAAAAACTATGTATTTTGATGGATGGACAATAAAGATGACTGACAATGAAGAAAGTAACTTGCTTTTAGAAAACAATTACAATCAAAGAGTTTTGTGATTGTGGACCAATGCTCAAAATAACTATACCAAAGCAAAATAAAATGCATCAATCACTATACATCACTATACATCACTATATATACATAGGGCTTTATAATAGTATAGTAATATAACAATTATCAAGGATGTTATGCTAAACCTGCTACTGCTATGTTAGATCATTTGTTCTGCTCATGAAATTTCTCATTAAAGGTTCATGATTGAAATTAGAAGTCGTGAGGAAAGCAAAGAGTAGGAATAAATTGGAAATTGCATTGGGGTGAAATAAGAAATGGAGTTCTTCAAGAATTTCTACTGCAATCAAGTGTCTTTTAACTTGTTAATAAATGATCTTGACTTAGAGGTAAGCAGTGAGCTAGTAATCTATAAACTGTAATACTACCAATAAAGAATAATACTATTAATCAAATACTGTTAATAAAATAATATATATTTGAGTGCATGTATGTACCAGTATGTATGCACACACACACACATTCACACGCACTCAATAATATATGTAGTAAATCTCTCTATATAGTAGATCTATCAATACTAGATGTATAATACTATTATTCAAAATCAATTTTGAAGAGTTCCAGAAGTCTTTAAACTCACTAAATTCAGTGAAAAGAAAAGAAAAAAAAGCTTCAGGATCCAAATGACTCATGAAACTAATTCAATGTATACAGTCATTGTATTAGTTGCAAAAGTACCCAGGAAAGGTTTTGAAGCCATAGAGAAAATCTTGTTTTCCAAGTCTCAATTTCTAATGAGGATGAATACAATAATGTAGTGGGGCCTGGTTGTCAGTAACTTCAGTCTAAGTATAAAATAATTAACTGGGGTCAAAGACTTTAGTTTTGTGTGTTGATTGGCCCCGAACTGTCTGCAACTAGAGAGGAAAAATATTTTGGGATCATAGTTAATAGCTCAATGAAGGTATTCTGCAACTATGAAAAAAGCAAATTGTTGAAAAAGCTTGACAATAAAATAGCCAATGTTGCAATATAAACCTACAAATGCATATGTCTGTAACTTGAACACTACACATCTTGCTGCTACATTTGAAAAATAATGTTATAGGGCTAGAAAACTAAGGGAAAAGGTAATCTAGACCAGGGATTCACAACCCCCGGGTCATGGGCCACTCCTGGGCCGTGAGCCATTCGGAACCAGGCCACTGAAGTGGTGGGCAAACGAGTATGTGCATCCCCATTTGCGCAAGCAGTGGTTGAGCATGTGCATTCGCGGTCCATTTGTGTGAGTGGCAGGCATGCATGCCCACCACTCCAGCAGATGGAACTGCGTACGCATATCTGGAATCAAGATATTACAAGACAACTTTGGTAGCTAATTGATTACTAAGTTAGATAAACTCTTCACTTACATTAATTGGGAATATCACGTTGATCTCTGGTGCATGTGTAGTGGAGCTGGGGTAAAATTGGGGCCAACTGAGAGGTTTTGCTGGAGCCCTACCGATCCGGCAGGGAAATGAAGAGCTCCGGCAGCTGCTGTTGATCTGGCGGCGGGGCAGGAAGGAATGGAAGGTGGTGATTCTGAAACGTCGGTGGACCAAGTGGAATGAAGAGAGAGAGAGTAGCTTGCTGGAGTATTTTGGTTAAGAGCAAGCTGGGCGAGGAGAGAGAGAGTAGCTTGCTGAAGTTTTTACCATTTCCTTCATTGTGGGCAAGCCAGATAAAAAGAGGGAAAGAGGATAGGTCGGGGGGAGGGGAGTTTTATTTCTTTTCATTCATTGGAGTAGGCTGGACGGAGGAAGACCAAGG